TTAGTGACCTTTTTGCTTTCTTCCTGTATGATGTTCTTAATGTCATCACACAACTCTTGTTTTTTGGTATTTAGTTATCTAATGTTTTAAATTTGTTGTTGATATGATCTCTATATTCAGGTGGTATATGGTCACGGTCATAGTTTTACTCTTGTGGACTTGTTTTAACCTTCTTCAGCTTCGGTGTGAACTTGCATATGAACAAATGGTCTGTTCTACAGTCTGCCCCTGGCCTGGTATTTACTGATGATATGGAGCTGTTCCACCATCTCTTCCCACAGATAGAGTTGATTTGATTTTTGAGTATTCAATCTGGTGAGGTCCATGTATACAGTCACCTTTAATGCTGTTTTTAAAATGTACTTAAAATGAATAAGTCATTGATCTTGAAAATGTATATTATGTGATCTCCAGCACTGTTTTTCTCACCAAGGCCATATTTTTTAACTATGTATCCTTTTTTGTTTCCAACCTTTACATTCCAATCACCAGTAATTATATCTTGATTTTATGCTTGATCAATTTCAGACTAAAGAAATTGCTATAATCATCACTGGTTTTAGTGGCTAATGTATAAACTTGAATAGTGGTATTAACTGATCTTACTTGAAGGTCTATGGATATCATCCTATCACAGACAGCAATATACTTCAAAAATGATCTTGAAATAATCTCTTTGATAATAAATGACATCATTCCTGTTCAATTTACCATTCTAGCATAGTAAGCCACATGATTGTCAGATTAAAATGGTTAATACCAGCATATATCAGATCAACAGAGCCTAGGATAGAGTCCTCGTGTGGCACTGCAGCATAATGCCCTAAACCACAGGCCAGTGGTTTAAACCTACTAGTCCTAGTCCCTCCTCAGAAACCCTAAACAGGGTTATGGACCAGAACAGACTCGACAGCACTTTAAAACAACAACGTCTAGGATAGCTATGCTTGTGTGTTCCACTGTATTTTTTACAACTTCCAATTTTTCTAGATTCATATTTCATACATTCTATAACCTGATTACTAATGTATGTTTAAGATGTTTCTCTTCATTTTGAGTTGTGGCCCATCAGCAAATGAAGGCCCTGAAAGCTTTACTCCATTCATACCATCACTATCAACTCTACTTTGGGGAGGCAGTTCTTCCCCAGTCGTATTATGAGTGCCTTCCACTCATCTTCGGGCACTATATTTGACAATATTCTGATGCTAGTCATACAGTTTTCATCGTCCAGCACTATATGTGACATTGTTCTGTTGCTACTGTTAAGGTTTTCAGTGACTAATTATTCAGATGTCGTCTGCCTCTCCTTCTTCTAAGTCTATTTTAGTCTGGAAGCTCTGCTAAAACCTGTCCACCATGGGTGACCCTGTTGGTACATAACACACCGGTGGCACAAATTCCAGCATCACAACCACACACCAGCCAGCACAGTGCGATAAACTGACATTCATACATCTCCGTAATTTGTTAAGAAACTCGCTTTAAACTCTAATGCAATGGTTTTTTATTTTAACCACATTGCTCTTCTGTTTCCAAAATACAACTCACACTTTTTTACCCAGATATACTGTTCATTCTAACTTCTCATCCAGCATCCTCTTCTCCCCATACCAAACTGCCCAATACAAGACTGAAACACTAAGGACACAAATAGTGTACAAACCTGGCTTCAAAACCTGGCTCTACCACCTCTAAACCCTAGATCTTTGACAAATTATTGAACCTCTGATCATTTTCCATTTCCTGCCAATACACTGAGGTGATGTCACCAGGTCCACAAAGTAATTAAGATTAAACAGGACAACAAAGTGTCTGGACAACAGATAATCATTTTCTTCAATGAAGTACAAGCACATTTTAAACTCTTAAAAATACTCTTTAGACCTACTACTAAACTGAGAATACAATTTCACTAAAACATTGAAATGGTCTCTCCAATTAACCAGACCTTTTAGAAAGAGAAGCCACAAATGACAAGAATTCCTTGACTTCTGTGTTCCTCCAGGGTCTGTGTGATCTTGGCAGGGTTTTCCTCAGCTATCTCCAGCAGATCTTTGTCTCTTTCTTGCATCCTCTTAAACCAAAACCAAGGAACCATTTTGATGGGTGTCTAGGAGCAAGTTATAGGGCACAAAATATCACAACACGGTGTCTGGCGAGAGTGCTGAAAAAGATGTCTTGTGAATAGTGAGAAATACAAGTAGCAAAATTGTAAGAGATCCAATTATTTCAATCAAGTCCTACAGTATTTTAATCAAGTCCTAGAGACAACTACATCAGCATAACAATTTTCAAGTGTTATTTGCTCTAATTGCTTTAAAAACACATACACAGAGTCATCACCACGTGGGTAAGACATAGAACTAACTTTAAAAAAATTAAAGAGAAATTTAAGGGTGGGAGAAGATAATTAATTATACCTTTTCAGTTACATAGTAGATGGAGGCAACTGAAGGAAAATGCAATTCATTTGTTGCTTCAAACCAAACCACTTCTGAGGCTTAACTTTATACACTTTTGCTCTGATTTTTGATTCTATCAAATATGTGAACTGGTGTGGTGTTATAGTATATTTTTAAGAGCTTGACTGCTGGGATTCATGTTTATTTCTTAGTCTAAGAGTAGTGATACACTATATTTTTGAGGGAGAGGAAAAAAGCACAAAGAATTATGCAAACGAGCTACACCAGTAGAAAAATATGATTTATTGGCCAGTGACTAGTCTTTAAAGAATTATACTTCACATTATGATTCTTGGTTTAAGCTTTACTCTTGGGTTTCATATTTCTTAACTATTTTTCACTGAAGTAATCTGGCTACCAACTGAGGGGAACAAATTACCCTTTTAAAAAGATTTTTTTTAAAAGGCTAATTGCTACATTAATTAAGCAAAGGAACTTTAAAAACTAATAATCTTTCCTAGTGTATGTATATTTATGTACTAAACTAGGCATTTTTTTCTGAATAGTAGTATCAAAATTCACTGAAACAGGAACAGACAATAAACACAATTTTCTAAGAATAGTGGAAATCCTTAATAATTAATAACGTTAAAGTAGTGATTAAATTAATACATTAAATAATGTTGTTGTTGTTAAATGCTGCCAAGTCAGTTCTGACTCCTAACAACCCTGTACAGGGGTTCTGAGGAACGGCTGGTGAGTTTCAATCACTGACAGTACAGTTGAAACCAACCTTAGGGGTTGAGTGCTTACCCTACAGCGTCACACCAGTGCTCCAAGGCTATCATTATAAAAGAGGTGGTGTTTCAGAGATGAACCAAGAGCACCAGGTGAAAAAAATAACGCATGTTTCACCAAAGCAAACGTCGATGCTGTGGTTGCTTAAGTGTCATCGAGTTGGTTCGGACTCATAGCAAGCCTGTAGAGAGTTTCCAAGGAGTGGCTGTTTAAGTTTGAAGCACCGACCTTGCTAACACAGGAGATGCTAAAAAGTCATTAAGTGTTGTCAAGTCACTTCCAACTCATAGCGACCTTATGCCCAATGGAATGTAACACTGCCTGGTCCTACACTATCTTCACAATTGTTGCTGCCACTCTCAGTCCATCTTGTTATGGGGTTTCCTCTTTTTTACTGACCCTCCACTTTTCCAAACATGTTGCCCTTCTCCAGGGACTGGGACCCTCCTGACAGTATGCCCAAAGTACGAGAGATAAAGTCTTACCATCCTCCCTTCTGAGGAACATTCAGCCTGCACTTCTTCCAAGACACAATTGTTTATTGTGTCCTCCGGCAGTCCAAGGTCCTTTCATCATTCTTCACCAACACCATGAAATAAGATGTACTGATTGTTCACTGTACTACTTTCTTATTCACTGTACTACTTTAATATACATATAAGGCGACTGAACATACAATGGCTTGGGTCAGACACACCTTAAATTCTCAAACTGGTATCTTTGCTCTTTAAAGAGGTCTTCTGAAATAGAGTAAACTTCTGGAGTTAGGGCCGTGAAGTCGATTCCAACACATAGCGACCCTCCCTCTATAGGGTTTCTGAGGAGTAGTTGGGGAGCTTGAAATGCCGACCTTGCAGTTCAAACAGCTTTGCAGTCTGGCGCATAAACCACAGAATCACCAGGACTCCAAAGTAGGAACACACTTTGATAAACAGTTATGATGGTATATGAAACATAAAAATATTCAGTATGTTGTATTCCTGTGATGTTGTTTGTTATTAAGTCAGTTCTGACTCATAGAAACCCTGTAGAGGGTTTTGAAGAGTGACCAGTGGGGTTTGAACCAGTGACTTTGTGTGGTTAGCAGTCCAGAGCTGACCCTACAGTACCACAGCTGGACTCCACAGTATTCCTGCCCACTAGGTAAATACAAAACAATATGGCAGGCACCTTACCCACTGTTAACTACTGATGAGACATGTAAATTATATTATTCTTTTTACTTTCCTTCAAAAAGAGTAACATGACATTCATAAGGATTCCTGGTGTGGCACTGTGGGTTAATGCACAAGACTGCAAAGTTGTTTGAACTGCAAGGTTGATGGTTCACGCTCACAAGTTGTCCCTTGGATGCCCTATACAGTGTCACAATGGATTGGAATCGACTCAACGGCACTTAACAAAACTAGGGTGTAACAGAAAGGAGCTCTGGTAGCGTAGTGGTTACGAGTCGGGTTGCTGAAACTGACAAGGTTCAGCAGGAGAAAGATGAGGTTTTCTGCTCCCATAAAGATTTACAGCCTCAGAAACCCTATGCAGGGTCACTTTGAGTCAGAATCGACTCCACGGCACACCACCACCATCACCAAGGGTTTAACAATTTGGAAAAAAAAAAAAAAAAAAAGAGAGATTAACATCCTCTATCTTTTGCAATACGCCCTGACTTAGGCAATCTATTCCTAAGGTTGCTGGAGTTATGTACATTGAATGCATAAATGGGGAGAGATTCAGGGGTGAAATCTAGTATCTTGTAAGAAATCCATTATTTTTTAAATATAGAGAGTTCAGGATAATCACCTGTGACTGTTCTATTTCAGCTTTGTTTAATTTGATTCCAAGGATTTCAGCAGCAACTTTCTGAAAACACAGGAAGACCTACATAACAAAAATAGGTTAGAATGATTTTAAACAGGCATATTTAAGTTAACTTCAAATAAATTAAACTTTCTGAAAAATGATAAACAGCAAGAGTTGCAAAAATATGATGTACCAGGTGATTCTAAAATTAGGTTTATTTGGCATATACAGCAATTTTTAAATCTAACAATTTTTAAATGATTAAACCATAATTTAAAAATCCATGCAATTAACTGAACAATAAAAGCTTGCTCATTTACTTTTAAAGATTTAACATGAGACAATTAAATAGATACATTAAAAATTTTTTAAATAAAATTAAAACCTAGTACCATTACAAACTACCATAAGTTTTAAAGAAAACAAAAATAAATTAGTGTGTACTTGTGTTTGTTCACTGCCAATTCTATGTTGATCTTTTGATCTGGTTTTAGCCTATTCTAAAAGGTCTCCCTTTCTAACCTATTAATCTTGTGGCTCACTTATCAATTTCAACAAATTCTCTGCATCTTTCAACAAAAACAGGACAGTACCCTTTACTGCACTGGACTAATTCAGAGTACAAGAACAGCATTGTTGTTATTGTTGTGTGTCACTGAGTTGGCTCCTATTCACAGAGGCCTTGTATAGGGTTTCCAAGAGTGGCTGGTGGATTGTCAGCCTTTCAGTTACCATTCCAGTGTTTATCCTACAACAGTGCACCAGGCACAGCATATTCCATTATAAAGTCTGATCCATTGTCATCAAGTTGATTCCAGCTCCTAATGACCCTATTGAATAGAGTCGAGCTGCCCCACTGGGTTACTAAGACTGTCAATCTCCATAGAAGGAGACGACTGCATCTTTCTCCCAAGCAGCAAATGGAAGGTTTGAACTTCTGACTTTTCAGTTAGTAGCCAAGTGCTTAGCCATTTGGGATTGTTGTTGTCCGACTCATAGTGACCCTGCACAGGATTTCCAAGGCTGTAAATCTTTACGGAAGCAGAACGCCTCATCTTTCTCCCATGGAGCAGCTGGTAGTTTCGAACTGCTGACTTGAGGTTGGCAGCCCGATTCATAACCACTACGCTACCAGAGCTCCTTAGCCATTTGGGATTAGGGATCCTGAAAGAGATTAATGGTGTGCAAATTATGTAGGCTCTTATGCGTCATTAGAAAGCTTTTACTCTGAGTGAAATGGAAGTCACGGTTGGTAGCTCAATATTGTACTGAGCATCCACCATAGAGGACTATAGGTACAGAAAGGAAAGCTAGCTAGGGGACTACTGGAATAGCTGGTGGAGATTTGACTTAGAGCAGCAGCAGTAGAGATGGTTAAGAAACAGTCACCAGATTCTGAATACACTTTGAAAGTAGAACCTACAGGGTTTGGTGACAGATCAGATGTGGGTAAGAAAGGAGGAGAGAGGAGTTCTGAGTGGACAGTCAAAAGAATTGCTATAGCAGTGTGCTTGACTTTAAAAAGAAAAAAGCCAAACTCACTGTCAAGTCATTTCCAACTCATTTACAGGAGAAGACAAGTCTATCTTTCTCCCATAGTGCTGCAAGTGGGTTTGAACTGCCAGCATTGTGGTTAGCAGTTCAGTGCTTATCCTACAGTACCACTAGGGCTCCTTACTGTCCTTGACTAGCCAAGGAAAAATGAAACTATGTACAATGGAGGAGTTAGCTTTACCCAGAAGTGCAGAGAGTTCATCCCAAAGTAATTAGTGAGAAGACTGCTAGCCAAGGGCATTGTACTCTTGCATGACAGTGCACATCCACACACCTCTGCCCACACTGTTGATACTCTGTGAAAACTTCATTTTGAAATGTAAAAGCATCCTCCCTATAGTCCTGATCTTGCTCCATCACACTTTTACCTGTTTGGTCCCCTGAAAGCAGTCCTGTGAGGACAAAGGCTCATCTCGGATGAAGAAGTAAAGACAATGGTGCATTCATGGCTCACAGCTCAGCCTACAACATTTTTTAATGAGGGAATATGAAAACTTGTTGACAAACGGACAGTGTACTGAAAAGCAAGGAGATTATATGACAAAAAATGATGTATTTGTCTTTTCTAAAACTTGATTAAAATAAATTCTACAGCCAAAGCACAGATCATTTGTCACTCACCCTCATATATGTATGGGAATGAGGAAGACCATCATGAACAAAAGAAGAAAATGAGAACATGAAAAGGAGTCAAGTTCACTGAAAAGGTGTTAAGCAGAAGATCCAAATGAAGATGAATAATGATTGGGTTAGGCTGCCAGGGGCATGTGCACTAGGACAACAGGGGATGATGGTCAGTGATAAGGATGCTTGGTATTGAGATAACTTAAGAGTGCAGCTATTTGTAAAGATCCGAGGTAGTATAGAAGTAAGTGTATGAGGAGGGATGGATGACAAACAGGAATATTGAAACTTCTAAGATTTATGACTGAGGAAGAATTAGAGAAAGAAATGAGAAGTAGCCAAATGACAAGTCCTAAAGTGATTTCCCAAGAACGATCCATTTTAAAGCAGCATCAAAGAAAACAATAATAGGCAATGAAGGTTTTTAATAGTGAACTATAGATCTAATATCTCTGCTAGCCTTAGTGGAGGCTGGAAGGTGGAGGGTCAGAGAAAAAGAGGAAAACCCCCAACGAGATGGATTAGCCAAGTGGCAGCATCGATGGACTCAAGCATGGCAACAGTAGTGAGGTTGGCCCAGGATCGGGCAGTGTTTTGTTCTGCTGTGCATAAGGTTGCTAAGGGTCGATACTGACTCAATGGCACCTAACAACAACAACTAGCCTTAGTCTTTGTAACTGCCACCAAATCAGTGTTTTCCTGATGGGTCTGGGTAAAAGAAGGTGGGAGAATATATTGATAGAATGATATGAATCCACTGTAAATGATAACAGAGTTAATTGTGATTGTAAAAACCTGAAATTCTATCATGGGTGTAAAATGATGAATCAGCTCAAAAGCAGGAATGAGGATCTCATGATCATCAAAGAAGAGCCATGTGGACCCAGAGGCCCCTGTGCATTGAAGCTCCCTGACTGAGGGACAGAAAGCTGTGACATCAGAGAAATGGCAAAGGAGCAGCAGCTGCAGAACGGAGAGCCACAGCACAAGATAGAGTGGTGGGATTTTCAGCCCACAGAGCAAGCAAGGCTGAGTGATTGGGGGCAGGAGACTTGCTTACAGAGTGGGGTGCCTCCAGGCACTTAATTAGGGAGCTGGGTTTGCCAACCTCTGGAGCTAGAGCTCAGTGCCTTCAGGCTGAGGCTTACGATAGAGTGGCATGCTTCTGGACATTGATCAGCATCCCTGAGAGAGCTCCCTAACGCTGTCAGGACAGAGACAGGCCTGCTGACTGGGAGGGGAGGCTGTCTGCCTGGAACAAGTGTGCCCTGAGCATTTCTGAATTGTAACCTGTTAACCTCATGACTGTCAGTATGGTGCCTGAGTTCTCTGTGGCCACTGCAACAGTGTGCTGTGGGACGGGTGGTTGTGTCATGTTTTTACAATTAGTATACAAAAATGCTAAGTAGTTAAACATACACTGAAATACTGGAAGTTAAAATTAAATCTAAAATGGCAGCAAAGAGAAATGTGAGTCCATGGATGTGTTCATGAAAAAGCCTCAGTATTATATATATATATTTAAATCCCATGCGTGGATGTGTGCACACATTAATATAATTCTGAAATAAAGGTTCATATTTTCAAAAAGACTGACAACTCTTTTATACTGTTTAAGATGTATCCTAAGCATAAAAATCATGAAGGAAAACACACAGGAAAAACATCAGAAAGACAAAACCACAGAAAAACTTCAAACTTCTTTTGGTTATAAAGTATCAAGTAAATTAACAAACAAAAAGTGGCCAGTGAGGGATATTTACAAAAATTATTAAAAAGAACTATTGTTATGGATTTAATTTGTAAAAAGTTATGCTGAAGCTCTAGCCCTTGTACCTGTGGAATGTGGCACTGTTTTGGGGTCTTTGAACGTGTTATCCATTAGATTACTAAGAGGACATATATTTATTCTAAGGAACTCTGGTAGCGTAGTGGTTACGAATCGGGCTGCGAACCTTAAGGCCAACAGTTCGAAACTACCAGCAGCTTCGCGGGAGAAAGATGAGGCGTTCTGCTCACGTAAAGATTTTCAGCCTCGGAAACCCTGTGCAGGGTCACTATGGGTCAGAACCGACTTGACGGCACTTAACAACAACAACAACAACATATTTATTCTAGAGGAGGAGAAGAACCATAGAGGAAGGGTGCCACGTGACACTGCCATTGCAAGCCAAGAATGCCTGGAGTTACCAGTGTCAGGAGGGCAGCCTGGGGCAGTTCCTCCCTCAGAGCCTCAGACGGCTCAACACAGCTCTACGACTCTCAACCTCCAGAACCGGGAGACAATCCATTTCTGTTCTGAGAAGCCACCCACACTTTGGGATTTTGCTGCAGGAAAGCTAGGAAATGAGACCAGCTAATATCTCTGATATGTCAAATGGTCATGCAATTAAAACACAATAAAAAATTATAAGCAGATCATAAACACAAAAGTAACCACTAATGAAGCTTTAAAATTTTCACTCTCAATAATAGTAATAAAAAAAGTTCAAATTTAAATAGTGAAATAAGCAGGAGTTTTTTTGGCCTACCAATTAAAGCAAAATTTTAAATTATAAATAAAACTTGAAAGTGAGAAAGGGGACAGTTATAAAAATCATACAATACTGGTGGTGTACCAAGTCACTTAGCCTTTCTAGTGATTTGGCAGTATGTTTCCATCTCTCTTCTAGGAATCGAGCCAAAGGAAATAATCAAAAAATTAAAAGCTTATGTACAAAAATGTACATTAGAATCACATCTACAACGTGGGAACAGCCTGTACATCCAACAATAGGGACCTGGCAGAATAAATTCTTAACCATTTAATGGGTTATTATATTCATTTAATAATATTGGATGATATGGAAAATGTACTTCATGCAGAAATATTAAAGTACAACTAAAAATTATTTGTGCATGATATTTTGGTGATCCCTATTGTCTTATCATGTGGGCTCACAAATCCCGTCCCTTATTCGCTGCATAATCTACACCCTGTCGTATCATCTGTTTAAGCCTCATCAAGATAGCGGAGATATACTAGTAGTTCACTACCTGTCAAGGCACAAGCACTCAATAATGAAAGTCTCAGTAAAGTGCTAGCATCTGTGAGCACTGGCGGATAGTGGGTTAAGCATCAGGCTGTTAACCTAGAGGTTGGTGGTTCAAGCCCACCAAGCAGTCCACATAATTAGAACCATAAGGGAGTCTGCTTACGTAGAGATTTACAGAGATGGAAACCCTGTGATATTTGACTCTCTCCCATTGGGTAAAGAGAGTAGTAGTTACAAGTAGGCCTGCGAACCTCAAGGCCAGCAGTTTAAAACTACCAGCTGTTCTGTGGGAGAAACGTGAGGATTTCTGCTTCTGTAAAGACTGACAGCCTCAGAAACCCTGTACAGGGTCATTAGGAGTCGGAACCGACTCCACGGCACATAACAACCACCACCACCATCAGGTTGCTATGAGGTGCATTTGACTTGGTGGCAGTGGGTTGTTGTTTCTATTTGTGAGCACACAAAAATATGACTAAACGGAATCATGAAGTTATAACTAGTTATCTCTGGTGAGATTATGTGTGATTCACACTTTCTACTTCGTATATCTCCGTATTTTTTAATTCTTTAGAAAAATCACAAAATTATCTTGTGAATTATAAAAGTAATCACCAATACAAAAGTGTCATGTTGAATCTCAGTTTGTTTGTAGTAGGAATTCAATGGCTCTAAAAGGTAATGAAAGAGATTTTCCTATGAATGTTAGTAAATAGAGTGAGGTATCCCTTACAATATGCAGTATTCATTATTCTACTTACAGAATCTCCCGTCTTGGCTGAGACAAAGTGGCTACTAAGACCATTTTCCTGGCAAAACCGCAAGTGTTTTTCAGGTTTTACTGTCCGCATGTGCTCCAAATCAACTAGAGAGGTGGTAGAGAGAGAACAAAATTCAATTTGAAGTTAATCAGTACTTTTTTTGTGTTTAGCATATTTAAAATGTATTTACTTTCCAATATTGTATCCAAGCGTAGACACTTAGCTGTGTAACACTGAGCAATTTATTTAACCTCTTTGTGCGCCTGAGTTTCCACATGTAAAAAATGCACTTAATGAATATATTGCCTTATATAGAATTCTTAGAGAATTAACAAGTATGAAGAAGGATGAGGTGTTCGGCTGCAGATTTATAGCCTCAGAAATCCGATACGGGTTTGCTAGGAGTCAGACCCGACTCAAAGGCACTTAACCACCCAGATATAGTGCTGAGAACAGTGGTTGGCACATGGTAAGTGCTCCAATACTATAAACTGCCATTATGATTGTTGTTGTTGTTGTTAGGTGCCATCGAGTCGGTACAAACGCATAGAGACCTTATGCACAGCAGAACCAAACACAGCCTGATCCTGGGCCAACCTCATTATCATTGCCACGCTTGAGCCCACAGATGCTGCCACTTTGACAATCGATCTTTATGGGGGTGTCTTCGTCTTTTTCTGTGACCCTCCACTTTACCAAACATGATATCCTTCTCCAGCGAATGGTCTCTCCTGACAATATATCTGAAGTATGAGAGACAAAGTTTGGCCATCCTGGCACCCAAAAACACTCTGGCTGCACTTCTTCCAACACAGATCTGTTGGTTTTTGGCAGCCC